ACAAAATAATGGGATCTTGTTTAGAGGCGAAGGCTAATAAGGATGAGGTGGACAAAGCAGCTCACAGCACGAACGCCACTGAGGTCGGCTCCTAGCCATATCAACAAGTGTATCCAGCCAAACGTGTTCATCGTCTTTCGGACCCCAACCAGGGAGCCGAGAAGCTCCAACCGAAGCCAGCTTCGAAGTGAGAGCCTTCATTTCTCTCGACCGAGTCATCGCTTGGCCACCTCTCCTCTTCTTCCATCCACACCCCCGGCGCGCAAACAACGCACGTCACGGGATCCGGTGGGTTGGCACGCGTAATACTTGGCCGAGCCATCGGAGCCTGGTGCGTGAAATAACGGTGCTGAGCGGTTCAGTTACTTTTTCTGTGCCGTAAACTAGGCGTCGAACACGCACGTTGCTCAAGCGGTGTTCTCACCAGATGGGAGCTAAATTGCGGAGGCACCGGTGGTCGAACGTAACTAGCCTCTTCATGTCCGTTGCTTTAAGGGGCCAGGTTTCACAACCGTACAATAGGGTCAAACGTACCGCTGCATTGAACATTCTACCCTTCAGGGCGAGAGTGATGTCGCGCCGGCGCCAACTAGGGCACGATGTGTAAGAATGCACACCATTTCACGCCTGTGGCAATTTTAACGATTGATTTACCCTTAGTACTCATGAGTAGGGGATTTTTGATGTAATTAAGTGAGGTTCTTCGCAGTCAGTTTCCAAATCACATAGTCGTCCACATGCCCGGAAAAGCACTAGACTGCAGTTTCAGCCTGTTGGGCATCATCAGTAGTGCGCATCCATCGAATCCAACAGGATTCGAACCCATGACCACCAGCGGATTGAACCGCCAGTCAGCAGCTTATGCCACTGGGCCACGGGGGACAGCTTCGGACCGTTGTGATTTACAAGCTTTTCCGGGCATGTGGACGACTATGTGATTTGGAAACTGACTGCGAAGAACCTGATTTACCCTTAGTTTTATGGTTTTGCGAGAACAGCGCAGCAGCCGCCCCTGGAGTCAGCAGAACGATATAGACCTCGTACTCAGGGTCATTATAAAGATAATGCCCTCTGCTATTACCGATTGGCCACAGGAATCGCGGGTGCTTCATTAGCCTACTCGCTTCCAACACATCGTCTCAACACACACCAAAAACGGCTAAATTCAGTGACCAAACCAAGTATATAGTAGGAATATAGTTGATCTGTTGGTCGGAACGCTAAACGACTTTTATTGCAAACGTTACTTATATTTCATTGCTTATCTATCTGGACCTGTCCTACCGAGGGTGTGTGCAAACGCTACAAAAATTGGGCATGATAACACTTCACTGACTCCATGTCAGAATGCTCACACTTTTTATAGAGCGTTTCGTATCGTAGCAAAGTAAGCGTTGACGCAATTGGTATCCTCACTAACGACGATGCTATTGTTGGTGACGATAGCAGGGACAGGAGTGATGACAGAGAGGAACATGTAAACGGAAATGAAGTTCCATTAGTGTGATCATGTTTAGTTATCAAAGAGACGATTCCCTGGTTATGCATCGCTGATCGCTATT